TGGGTGGTGCAGCTCGATCCTCAAGGTCATGCGCCGAGGGTGATTGTTTTGTTTATGGGCGGTGTCAACATGTGTTGGTGTTCCACGTCCTTTATTGCGGGTTATATGCTGCTCTCGCTCTTCTTCTCTCCAGTCATAACCCCCTAAATTCTGGGGAAAGTTCTGGATTTTATACGTGGGGAATACACCTACAGGTAGTTCTTTTCTCTGCTTACGGGTGTAGGGTGGCTCGGAGTGGCGCCGCCTCCACCTTTACACTTCACCTCATCTTCTACTGTTCACGCAACTCTGGACATAATTCACTAGCGTTGCTCCCGGAATATTACATGGTGCACGGATGTTCCTTGATTGTGCAGATATGTCCAACAGTCACTGAATGAACACTCCAGCCTCATAACAAATCAAAACAGTGTGCTGTGAATCTGTGAGGTCACATGGAAGAAGGCACTAGTGGTGGACCAAGTAGCTGTATATACAAAATATATCTTACCTGAATGTTACTTGAAGTACAGTATTACCGACACTTAACAACTTTGGAAATACTGGAGCCCCGCATTTAAGGACCTGGGTACAGCTCCATATAGGCCGTTTAATCAAAAGGATAATGACTTTGGCATCAGTCAGTGTGAAGGGAGTTCTAGGCCTACCGGGGACCATGAGCAAGAACCTGGCCCCCCTCAGAGAGGCACGAGGCGCAATGGCCTATAGAAATGCACATGTGGTTATGGAGCTTTTTTTGTCTGCCATTGCCCAGGGTCAGCCACCCAGAAAGGTAAGCGCCCCAAAACAAACCCCTGTTCTGGTTAAAAATACTCCTGAAAGTCAAACAAGTGGACAGAACTCCCCAAATGAAAATGAGCATCTCATCACGACGTCGTCACACTGCTTGTCTGAGCCTCTTTCCCCCCCCCCCTGTCCTGGGAAGTGAAAGGGGAAGCCCCAGACTCTTGTGCTGGCGACTCTTGTGTATCGTGTGGCACTGGCGGAACCGCTGCAGCTTGCTTTCGGCATTGATGTTACTTCTGCGCCGTTTTGCAAGCTGTCTAGGGTGTTTTTCACCTCCGGCCTGCTTATGCACTGCCTGAGTCGTCCTGGTCATTGGACAAGGTGCTCTCATATCTCTCTTCCCCTCAGTTTGTAGTGGCCCCTTCGGTTCAGGAATGTTTCTCCAAGGCTCTTTTTTCCTGTTGGCTTTGGCTTCTGGGGGTCGGGTCGGGAAGCTTTATGCTCTCCTCTGGCACAGTGGTTTCTGCTCTGAACTGATTGAATTCTGTACTAAATGTTCAGTGGAACACATAAATGTTCGATTAAGCGAGGAATGTTGGTCTAAGCGGTCACCGAGGCCTAGCGTCGGAGGTGGCTGTCATCAACTATGATTAGCCAAAGTGTAAACAGTTATACAGTGTTTCATTATGCTTACCCATTGTTTCTAGGGAGAAATGGTTGAAGGATGATAAAATGGTGTCAGGGGTCATTGGTGAGAGTTTTTATCAGGGGGCAAGTGGTATCAGTAGTTAGGGTTTATTGTTAGGGGGCAGGTTGTGTAAATTATTCTCATGGAAAGGAGGTTGTCAGTGGAGGAAGTTGTCAGGGAAGACGGGGGTAATAGTGGTGTCAGGGAAGGCAGGTTGTGTCAGTGGAGGAAGTTGTCAGGGAAGACGGGGGTAATAGTGGTGTCAGGGAAAACAGAGTAATAGTGGTGATAGTGGTGTCAGGGGAAGACAGGTTGTGTCAGTGGTGGAAGTTGCCTGGTCTTAGGTCTGGCCTGAGCCCTGGTCTGAGGTCTGGCCCGAGGCCTGGTCTGAAGCCTGGTTTGAGGTCTGGCCTGAGGCCTGGTCTGAGGTCTGGCCTAAGACCTGGCCTAAGGCCTGGTCTGAGGTGTGGCATGAAGCCTAGTGTGAGGTCTGGCCCGAGGCCTGGTCTGAGGCCAGGTCTGAGGTCTGGCCTGAGGCCTTAGCTGAGGTCAGGCCCGAGGCCTTGTCTGATGCCTGGGCTGAGGTCAGGCAAGAGGCCTTGTCTGATGCCTGGTCTGAGGTCTGACCCGAGGCCTGGTCTGAAGTCTGGTCTGAGGTCTGGCCTGAGGCCTGGTCTGAAGTCTGGCCTGAGGCCTTGTCTGATGCCTGGTCTGAGGTCAGGCCCGAGGCCTGGTCTAAGGTCTGGCCTGAGGCCTTGTCTGATGCCTGGTCTGAGGTCAGGCCCGAGGCCTGGTCTGAGGTCTGGCCTGAGGTCTGGCCTGAGGTCTGGCCTGAGGCCTGGTCTGAGGTCTGGCCCGAGGTCTGGCCCGAGGTCTGGCCTGAGGTCTGGCCCGAGGCCTGGTCGGAGGTCTGGTCGGAGGTCTGGCCCGAGGTCTGGCCCGAGGCCTGGTCCGAGGTCTGGCGCAAAGCCTGGTCTGGCCCAAGGCCTTCCAGTCTGGCCGCCACCCCACCCCCATCTCTACTGCTGACTTGCTACAACCCCCCCCCCCCCTCCCGCACCTGACTACCAGTGACTGGCCCCGACCCCCTCCCTCTACCACCGGCGGCCCGCCAACTGCCCCTCTCCTTTCGTCAGTTTGTTGAGAAAATTAGGTGATTTCGTTTGATTGGATTCAATAATGCTCATGTATGTATGTAGCATTTTTATTCCAAATTGTTTGTAAGTGATTGTTCTATCAAATGCCATAGTGAAAATGAAGAATTCATAATAAATGAATTGTTTATGAATATTTATAAAGACTGATACAGTTGGCTTATGGAAATCCTGGCCATTACATCATATTTGCGGCCACCAATAACAGTCACATAGTTATGATTTTAATATGGAATTGTTTACCAATGATTGTTCTATCATGTTACCTGCTTGATGGGGTTCTGGGAGTTCTACTCCCCAAGCCTGGCTTAAGGCCAGGCTTGACTTGTGAGAGCCCACAAGGTCCACTAGGCTGTTGCTTGGAGTGGCCCGCAGGCCCACATTCCCACCACAGTCCGGTTTGTCCAGCACTCCTTGGAGGAAACAATCTAGTTTCCTCTTGAAGATGTTCACTGTTGTTCCGGCAATATTTCTTATGCTCGCTGGGAGGACGTTGAACAACCGTGGACCTCTGATGTTTATACAGTGTTCTCTGATTGTGCCTATGGCACCTCTGCTCTTCACTGGTTCTATTCTGCATTTTCTTCTATACTGTTCACTCCAGTATGTTATTTTACTGTGTAGATTTGGGACCTGGCCCTCCAGTATTTTCCATATGTATATTATTTGGTATCTCTCTTGGCTCCTTTCTACTGCATGTGCCATGTTCAAAATGATAAATACATAATTAATAATTTTTCTGCGATATTTGTTTTGTTGATAGTGGATGTAGGACCTCTGTTATTTTCACATGAAGGGGAGGGGCAGCCTGGACTGACAGGTAGAACGAATTCTGCAGTAGAACGAATCGGCCTCGCCCCATATAGTTCGTTCAAGTGAGAATACACTGTATATCCATAACAGCCTGGATAACTTCAGGGAGCCTCCAGGTCTCACCCAGAAAATGGCGTTTCTTTACATTCAACACTAGTTTTTCTTGCTCAGCATCTCCTGCTGACTACCATCTCGTGTCATGTGGTGCTGGCGGAGCTACTGCAACTTTTGTTTCAGGTCGATGCTACCTCGGCTCCATTTTACAACTGTCTTGCACCTTGTTTCACCTATGGCCTGCTCATGTGCTGCCAGAACCTGCTTGATCTCTTGACTGCGTTCTTTTTTTTTTTTTTCTTCTCGGTTTGCGGTTTCCCCTTTGGTCTGTGCTTGTTGTCTTCAATGTTTTCGATTTTCCTTGCTTTCGATTAGACTGATGCTTCATGGTTTCCTATGGAGCCAGGGATTTTTGTTTGTTTGGCCCTGGTGAGCAGTTTGTTAGTTTGCAGTTGGCGCCTTCTTTTCTGACGGATGAAGAGTCAACTTCTGGAGGGATCCTTGGGTCTTTGTTACTTGGTTGGTTTGACCGAATGCATTGTGTGCTGTGTCCGGTAATGGCTGTTTGCTGCTACCTGTGTGTAACCAATTCTGCCTTGGTGGCTGCCTTGTGAGTTGCTCCAGTAACATTGTCCCCTTCCCCCCCACCTCCCCTCTCTGTTTCAAGACTTGTGTTTCTCAGGTCATCTGCATTGTTATTAGCATTGCTAGCCTATAATCTTTCCTGTTGCCCTTAGTGTTCAGGATTGTGTCACACTGTTATCAGCGTTCTCGGACGTCTCCAGGGCTTCTGTTTGGGCATGAGGGTTTCAGAGATCAGGCAGGGTTCTAGTGGCTTGGTATCTTGCTGCTGTTGCATGGGTTGAGCATTCTTGTGGGGCTTTGGGCCATGACTCTCAGCCAAGAGCCACCTCTTCATCTTGCTTCCTGTGGTGCTCCATGGGGTGTGCCTATTTCTTTTCTTCTCCAGGGGTAAATAGCTAAGGGAGCCACAAGAGGCTTCCCCCAGAAAACCTTCATGGAATGTAATGAAATGCTGTTTTCTGGGGGAGCCCTGGTAGCTTCCAAGGACCCTTCCCTTCCTCCATGTTGTCGAAGGTTTAGTTACATCTGCCATAGTACTGAGGGTGGAGATGCCGACTGACTGACAGCTGTGTCCTCCCCGACCAAATAAGTGGAGGAGGTGGGGGGCGAATGAGCTTACACTAGTTCCAAGAGATTTTGAGCATTTGCTTACATAGTTGGGGAGTTCTTTCACCAATCTTCTTGGGGCCTACAGTCTCTATTAATTCCAGCAGTGGTTTGTCTTGGCTCACTGACATTTTGGTTGCCTTGCACTGTGGTGGAATAAATAAATAATGTCACTGCTCCCTGTGCCCCTGTGAGGGGGACCATGTCCTGGCACTGGTCCCTGGTAGGCCAATACAACTCCAACACAACTACCAGAAAGATGCATTTCAATGCATTCAGTGCTTATTTTTGGTTACTTGGACAGATAATACAAAAGATTGATGCGTGGGGTTAGGGTTAACTTATTAAAATCAATAAATTAATTTTTTTTTCAGGGAATTTTGCTTGTTGGTACCCCAGAGCAGAAGGCCAAATATCTTCCCAAGGTAGCATCTGGGGAAAACATAGCAGCTTTTGCCCTGACAGAGCCCTCTAGTGGGTCAGATGCTGGATCCATCAGAAGTCGAGCAGTGCTGTCCAAGGACGGCTCTCACTATGTTCTCAATGGCTCAAAGATCTGGATCAGCAATGGTGGCTTGGCAGAAATATTTACTGTGTTTGCTCAGACTCCTGTCACAGATCCCAACACAGGTTAGAAACCTTATAATTCAAAAATTAGACACTAATTGAAGTGAGTTTGAGTTTGTTTTAGTATGTGGACTTTCAGGACAATAATAGTAATAATAAGGAAAGATTGACTTTCATTATATATGTGACGTACATTATATGCATTACATTTGTCTGGAAATCTACCAGTGAATAAATTATTTGTATTTATTTGGACTGCAAATTTATGAATTATTATTTTATTATTATTATTAAGTGGACTGTACAGTACCACCTCGATTCAGCATAATATATGGGACCAACCATGGTGCGTTGGTGCATTGGATTCGTTGCAAGAGGTGACCTTCAAGAAGCGTTTGCGTCAGTGTCTTTTTTCTGGGGGTTAGCCCCTTCGGCTCCCCGAAGCTTACTAGGCTGGTATGCTAAGGTCAGAATGTGGCATCAGTCATATATATGGAGTTCTATGGGCCTACTGGGGACCACGAGCCAGAACCTGACCCCCTCAGAAGAGGCAAGGGGAGCAATGGCCTATAGAAACCCCCGTGTGGTTGGAGGCATTCTATGTCTGCCATCGACCGGGTCAGGCACCCAGAAAGGTAAGCATCCCAAAACAAACCCCTATTCTGGTGAAAATATTGCTACCAAAAGCCGAACAAGTGGATAGAACTCCCCTAAATGAAACGAGCAAACGATTAAGACGTCACACGTCGCCGCGCCTCTGTCTGCGCAGCTCCCCCGACCCCGGGAGGGAAAAGGGGTGGCCCCAGACCCCTCACGCTGGCTATCCACCCTTTAGTTCTTAAGTTGGTGATAGAGGCTACGGTCGTGTACTCTGCCTCCAGACATAATTTCAGCACTGTGCTTTGAGTGTGGTGGCTGTCTTCTAGGGGGAGCAAGAGCCAGGAGTTATTCTCCAGTACTCGGGCTGCATGCGCCTAGGGTTCTGTTCCCTGGGTGCTCTGTAAGTACTGCCCTTGGAGCTTGGGGTTACCTTCCACAAGTTCATTGGGTCCTGCCTCTCCTGGCCGTTTTACTGCTTGGTTTTTTGGCCGCTCTTTGGGTACTTGGGTGTTTTGTCTCCCTTGTTTACCTTAGGGTAAGAGGCAGTTTGCACTGGTTTGGGGTGCTGCGCAGGTTGTTTTCACTGATTAGTGGCCGGCTCTGTTCCTCTAGGGTACACTGTCCTCTTGCGGGGTTTTCTTTTTTTCTTTTTCTTTTTGCCTTGTGGGGAGGGATCTGCCCTGCTTTCTGGCCACTTGTGCTTGACCTATTACGGTTCTTCTCTGGTGGTGCCCCCTGCTAGGTCCCCGTGAGTGTACACATCCCTGGGGTGCAGCTTTAGTGAGTTTGCTTGGTAGTTTTGGGTGCCAGTTAGCAGTACCCTGCCAGGGGTTACCTGGGCATGAGTCTCGTTAAGCGCTCAGGGCCCTGGGAAACCCCTGGGTGCACGTGGGTTTGATGGATGTGACCCTGGGGTCCCCCCCCTCTCTTCATGCGAGTTTGAGGGTTGTTCGGTCCCCTTGTCTCAGGGTGACCCTCACTGTCTTTGCCTCCGTCATGCTGCCTGTTGGGTCAGTGACTATTTCGACCCTGAGTCCTGTGAGTTCTGCTGCTTTCTAGTGACTCAATTTACCCAGTCTAGTGATGATCTTATGAGGGTACAGGCGGCACAGGCGTTGCATGAGCATCTTAGGTTGTTGCAATGTGCTCGGTTGGTTGATCACCTGGATGCCCTGAGGCTGCCCTGTTTTGCTTATAGGGACCTGGACTTGGGGGTGGGGGTCACTGAAACCTTGATTCAGTCTGCCCCCCTCGTCCTTCCACCTCCTGTGGTTCTTTCTGGTCCTCCCCCCCCTCCTTTCCCCCTGCTTCCGGCCCCGAAGCATCTGAGAGTCTCGGAGCCCGAGCTGGGTTGTTTTGGGATGCTTACCTTTCTGGGTGCCTGACCCGGTTGATGGCAGACATAGAATGCTTCCAACCACACGAGGGTTTCTATAGGCCATTGCTCCCCTTGCCTCTCTGAGGGGGCCAGGTTCTGGCTCGTGGTCCCTGGTAGGCCAACAGAACTCCATACACATAATTGATGCCAAAGTCTGTCATTAGCATATCAGCCTAGTAAGCTCCGGGGAGCTGATAGGGCTCCCCCCCCCCAGAAAATGGCGTTTCATTACATTCAACGCTGTTTTTTTTCTTGTACACAATAAAAATGCATTATCATATTATATACTGCACCTATATATTACTACTCTACTAAAAAATTCTGTATTACATTTGTTATTTACCTTATTGTTGGAGTTATGTCAATCTTGAAGTCTCATGGCGTTGTGAATGCTGTACAGTAAATATGTACTTTAGTGTATTATACCATTAACACTGTGTTGATTAACCCTTAAATTGCGCATTGCATCATATGATGCTTTGCCCGACTTGCAGTAAATTGCGCATCGCATCATACGATGCTTTGGACTACCGCGCACGATTTGAAAGGCCTGCGGGGTATAGGGGGTCCCCATACGCTACCCAGGGGCTATAGTAAACAGCTGCCATTTTGAAAAAAAATCCAGCTCACACTTCTATCGCGTGGGAGGCCTCAGTTACCCAGCAGCCACCATGTCGAGCGCACGGCCGAACGCTTCCCGGGCATGCCCCACGCAAGCCCCACGCAATCACTCACCCAAGAGCAAATAACCATATAATTATTTTCCGATAATGAGGAAAGTGACTTTGATGACTCTGATATAGATAAAGACTACACACAATTGACCGATGAAGATAGCTTTTGTCGCGTCTGCAGCGTCTCGCCCAGCCAAGCGCCACCGCATGGAACAACATGAGGCACCAAGAGCCTCATGTTCACGTGCCTCTACCTCACGTGCACGTGCCTCTACCTCACATGCAGGTAGCGGCCGTACTGTGCGTAGACGGGCTTCAGCTCCTGGTCCACGGGGTGCATCACTTCCTCGCCATAGTGCCCCTGTTGCGCCCCCTGCGTCTCGCAGGACACCAGGTGTACTAGTGTGGAGTGATGGTGCCGGTTTTATTCCTCGAATTCCTGCCTTTGACAATAAATTGGGATTACAGAGCTTTTCCCTGATAATGGTGATGATATGAGTGAATGTGATTATTTTACAGCATTCTATGATGAGCCGCTCATGGAATATATTGTACACCAAACGAACCTTCATGCGGCTCATCTCATTAAAAGAGAGAGAACAGAATTTTCACGATTGCAACATTGGAAAACCACCAATGTAGGTGAAATGTATGTTTTTCTAACGATATGTATGTTGATGAAACACTGTGTCAAACACGCTCTCACAGATTACTGGAGCAAAGATCTGACTATTCCAACACCTTTCTTCGGGAAATATATGTCCCGAGACAGATTTCAGATGCTCCTCAGGTGTCTGCATTTTGCAAGTAATGAGGACCGGACAGAGGATGATAGACTTTGGCGAGTGAGGCACTATATGAATGAAGTGATTGGAAAGTTCAGAGATTTTTATGTACCAGCACAGAAGCTGGTGATTAATGAATCCCTTGTGCTTTTCAAAGGACATGTTTCATTCAAGCAGTATATTCCCTCCAAATGAAACAGATTTGGATTGAAATTCTTTGTACTGTGTGACTGTGAAACAGGATACGTGTTACACATGATTCTGTATTCGGCTAGCGCTGTAGACATTCCCGGTAACGACGAACATGGTTTCTCTGGTAGTGTGGTGAAGTCACTGATGGCACCATGGATGAACAAGGGGCACATCCTATACACAGATAATTACTATACAAGTCCATTGCTAGCTAGGTTCTTGATTGAAAATAGAATCGGGTTGGTTGGCACAGTAAAGGCACGAAGAAGGAAAATGCCAGTGTTTGATGGTGGACTTGCAGTTGGTGAGTTCCAGGTACGGAAATGTGATCAAATACTCTCGGTACGGTGGAAAGACGAGAGAGAAGTGAACCTGCTGACAACCGTTCATGAGGGTACAATGGTGAACAGTGGCAAGGTGCACAGTGTAACGAGAGAACCAGTATATAAGCCAGATTGTGTTCTTGACTACAATCTTAACATGCATTTGATTGATAAGGCTGACATGATGATTGGCACTATCGAGTGTGTGCGGAAAACATTGAAGTGGACAAAAAAAGTGATTTTCCATCTTGTTGACATGAGCATGTTGAACTGCTATACAGTAATTGTATCTGGTGAAAACTGGACATAAACCTATTTTCCGTTCATTTGCTTCTACACTTGCAACACAGTTTTTAGCAAAGTTTGGTCTGCAGCATGCTGTAACACCCAGGCTCGGTCACATGGATGCCTTTCAGCAACACAGACTAAAGAATTTGCCACCAGGTGGAAAGCGTGCAGTAGGCCAACGTGCATGCCTAGTATGTAAAACAACAAAACGACTACCTTCTCACTCTTCAACTGCTTCAACGACTACCACTCCCTCCAAGATTTCTAAATGTGCAATAATAATGCAAAAACCGGTACATAGTGCGTGCTAGTGTGTACATATAAAATAATGAACATTGTGATAACTGTACATAATATAATGCAGTAATAGAAAATGTTTGTGTGCACATGTGTATACTCGATGTATGCAACATATATTGACAGTAACTGTGAAGTAACATTATGTGCAACACAATTAGTGACTAATATTGCAGAGAATACATGCTTAGACACTGTAAATAATGACGCGAAAATAAATTCGTGGCAACTCTGGCTGCTTGAAGACCGCGCGCGACGCCTCCGGGACGCACCGTGTATGAGCGAACATGCAAACTGCGATGTCATCACCCATCTTGTTGGCTCAATTGTGTTGCCGGTAAGTATAATTCATATTTTTCTGGGGGGAGCCCTGTCGGCTCCCCGGAGCTATCCCAGGCTGATATGCTAATGTCAGACTTTGGCATCAGTCATGTGTATGGAGTTCTTAGGCCTACCGGGGACCACGGCCAGAACCGGGCCCCCTCAGAGAGGCAAGGGTAGCAATGGCCTATAGAAGCCCCCGTGT